AAGAAGAAGAAGAAGAAGAAGAAGAAGAAGAAGAAGAAGAAGAAGAAGAAGAAGAAGAAGAAGAAGAAGAAGAAGAAGAAGAAGAAGAAGAAGAAGCTGCTACTAGTTTCACATACACTTTTACTTGCAGATCTCAGGATGGTTGGATAAGGAGAGGCACCAGTGGCTCTGCCTGCCTCATTATCCCACCAGTGTCAACCACACCCCCCCTTTGTCCTCCTGTCCCTCCTGTGGCCTTCTTTAGGCCTGACTATGGTAAAGAAATCCAAGATGACAAACTCCAATCATATCCTCTGCTTCTCCTCCCAAGAATAGAACATAAAGGTAGTTCAAGAAACCACTGAGACCATAAGACAAATCACCAGTGAATTAAGAAATGTCTGGAATCCTGGGACCTGCTTACAGACACAAGAATCACAGCATTGTGAAGATGAAGGAGAAAACTTTAGGGTCATCCATTCCAGGTGGTGAAAGAACACTTGAGGAGCAGGAAGAGCGGAGGCTTGGGTACAGCTGGAACCTGTCTGAATCCAAGCTCTACCCTTCACCTCCTGGGTAGCTCTGAACAAGAATCTGACTTTAAAAAAGTGTCGTATGAATCATAATAATGTCTACCTTCTGGTGCCACCAGCAGGGCTGTATGAGGTCATGCGCAGCACTGTTTCATGTGCTGATTGACCTGGTCAGTACTTAACAACTGAGAGTCACTTGGCTATTAGAGGAAACTGCAGGGTCTTTACAACAACTAGGCCTGATCCAGATCCTTGTCCTGTTTATTAGGTTCATTTCAGTATGTGCAACAGATGTAATTCTCATGAACCTTGGTTTTCTCACCCATAAATGGGGATACAAATACTTCTTTTTTGGTAGTTTCTGTGAAGGTTACCTGGAAACTAGCATGGTCCTGAAATGTAATAAATATGCAGTAAATGTTAATTATCTGCTTTACTGCATTATTCTGATGAGAATCCAGGTACTGTTCTATTGTATTGTTAAGTCCTTAATCAGAATCCTTGGTTTAAATTGCACCCCCTTCACGTACCCAGAACTTTGTCAGCAAGGATGTCTGCCTGTGCCTGTTTTGTCTGAAAATTAAAAAAAAAGTTCCAAGACTGAGTATAGTGGGGGTGTAGAGGAGAATTTATTTAGATTAAGAAGAAAAAAATAGATACTAGATAGAGGAACAAATGCTTATTAATTTAGAACCTCAGGACAAGCCACAGGAAAAGCTATGGCAATGTAAAGTACTTCCTTTCAGCCCACTTTTTGCAAATTTCTGACTTCTTTCCCAAGAGACACGGGTCTTCAGCGTGGCAGAGGCACATGTTCAAGGTACTTATCACATTGTCACATGCACAGAACCACTCAGAAAGCAGAAAGGCCCAGACAACAGGGGCAGGAGCCAGCCCTGCGCAGAGAAGCATCTGCATATTTGTTCAGTAGCAGTCATATGCTGAAGTTATTTTGACCAGCATTTCATGATAAATTGTTGAGTAAGACACAAATTCTACCTCTAGTAAGTTTAGTGGTTAAGAGCAAACACGGTGTAGAATCAGACAGGAGAGTCTCCGGCAGCAACACCAGAGTCTGTAGTCAGAAAGGGGCAAAGGACTTTTCAGCACCTGGGAGAGCTCCAGAGTGCCCTGAGGTGTGTGTGTGTGTGTGGGGGGGTATTTTATTATGGGCAGTCAGCCAGAGGCTCCTAGGAAGACAGTGACTCATTTCAAGTTTAAAAGCTTGGGACTTCCAGGACTGAAACGTTTTCTTTATTTTTAGGATCTATGCTGTGTCTGCTGATAGAGCCTCACAATATTCTACATACATAGAACAGATTGGTTCTATGCTGAGAATAATTCTCCCTTAATAGTCTGGGCATGTGGCTGGGGTGGAGAAAGGGTGGAAGATGAGCTGAACAAATACCTGGAGGAATGAAGCACTCTATACCAAGTTGGCAGTGGCTGAAAACCCCTTTTACTGCAATATATTTTTAAATTGAGCTTTAGGGGCAGATAACATATCAGCATATCAGCACATTGGCGTGATTATTCAGCCTGAGACCGTGATCTTATTTATTTTCCCTCTTGTTCCTCAGTGTCTCCCTCCCATACAGTCACCCTTGAATGTGTGAAATCTGTTCTTTAATTGTGCCATATTCTTATGAAAATGTATCTATCATTTCAAGTGCACATATTTTAAAAATATAAATGACATTGTGATTGTGAACCTCGATTTTCCTATTGTTTTACTATTCTCCCACTATGTTTTTAGAACCATCATATCATTGTAAACCCATCAAATTTATTCCCCTTTCTGTTTCATACAATTTAAAAGTAGGTATCCACTCTATTACATAAATCCATTTCCTCAGTAATAGACACTTAAGTTGGCTTCAGATTCCCATTAGCACAAAATTGCTGAAAGTTCATGTGGAAAAGACATGCTAACTTTTGATAAATATTTTAAGGTTGCTAAATCATGATTAAATTATAAAAACCAAAAGTTTTTCTCTGTACCAGCAATAACTATGCCCAAAATATAATACCTGTGGGAGATGGGGATGCCTATGGTTCGAGAGACCAGTAGAAAAATCCTGATTTGGTGGGGGGACATCAATCTTGCCATAGCCAACCCTTATTTTTGCTACCTAATGCTTTGGGGTAGAATGTGGAACTTCTGCTGTAGAACTAGGGCCACTGGAAGGCCCAACTTGACCCATCTCTCTGCCAGGGATCACCCCTTTTCTGCCATCTCCTCTATCATGTTCACCTATTTTGTGACCTATGCCCTCAGAGCCTCAAGTACCGGTAAAAACTAAGAAGCTGCTCATTCATCCTGCTCAGTTCATCAATCTGCTCATTCATCACACATGCTCAGTGACTATGGTGTGCCAGGTGCTGTGCTCAGTGCAGGAGATGAAAGGTGAATCAGGCAGGGTCCCTCTCCTGCATATTTGGATGGGTGCTAAATCAAAGGTGCAGGGGTGGATCTAGAGACAGGTGGAGTGGAACTCCCGGAAGTGGGGAGAGGTACCACCGTCAGCACAGACATCCTGTAGCAAGGGAGGCATCGGCATCCACTTCTTTCCAGAGGATTCCAAACCCTGTGGGGGAAATTCCTTCCTGGTTCTTGTTGAACATTGTGCCCTGGTGCCTAGTATAGGTCCTGAAAGACAGCAGATGGCCAGCAAATATTTGTTTAATAAATAAATGAGGTGAATCTTTGAAGAGAGTGCATTGTCTGTAAGTGAGGACAGAGAAAAAAGAAAAGGCAGAAGCCATTTCTGGCAGAAAAAAAAAGCCAAATTTTGAGAAGCACAAGGAATCTGTGAGGAGTCCCAGGTAACCTGAAAGTAAAGTATGAAGTTAGGTCAAGCTGCAAAGGGATTTGTGTGCTCGGCTGCAGGGCCTGGAGTTAACTCTGAAAAAAAAATGGCTTAACCAAGAAAGAGGAATGATTTTAGAAAGTCTGCATTTTAGAAAGAAGCAAAGATGAAGAAAGATGCCTCTGAATTGGGAAATGGGACAAAATGAAGATAAGAAAACACTGTGGAGGGTCTTTGTAGCAGGGAGTCAGTAAAAAGCTAGAAGAGGTGGGATTGGGGAATGTTGAGGGGTGGCTGGACTTTGGCCTGAAGTGGTGTGGGGAGACCAACAAGAGTCTTGCTGACCTTGAACAATTCTGTGTTCAGTGTCTGCTCTGGTGCTGAGGACAGAGCCGTGGACGGACAGCTGATGCTCATCTCATGGAGATTTCCATCTAGCCTGGCTGTGTCAGCAAACGGGTGTCTGCTAGGTCCCAAGGCAGGGGAACAGGAGCAGCCTGACGCAGCTGCAGAGGAAGCTTCCAAGTGCAGCAGCCCCTGAAGGAGGCAGAGCTGACCCTGAAGCCTAAAGACAGGAACTGTCCAGGAGAAGGAGCTGCGAAGAGAAGGAAGGTGCAGCTGTGTGCGTGGCTGTGAAGGTGGGTGGGGCGCCGCACAGCTAAGAGGCATAAAGAAGCACTCAGTGAGGAGCGTGCCTGGCACAGGGGGGCAGCTGAGAAGCCAGGCTGCAGGCACAAGGGACTGCAGGACACCTGGGGCTGCTCCCAAGAGCGTCAAGGCAGGCTGGGAAGCTCGGCTTTCCCCTCCGATGATGAGGAGCTGTGGAGTGTCTTGAAGGAGTAGCCACTCCAGACACATGACTGCTCCTGTCAGGCAGGGACTGGAGGGTCTCAAGTCCTGGGTGGTCCTGAGAGATGGGGAGAGCGGTGGTGTGCAGGACCAGGACCTCAACAGCAAGAATGAACAGAATGAAGGAACATTTCTGTTTTGGCATCAGTAGGAGTTGGCTGTCCATCTGTTGTGGGGGGAGAAGGGGAGAGGATGAAGGATAAGTGCCCAGTTAGGGCGGGGATCAAGGATCAGGGCCCAGTTAAGGGAAGGGATCAAGGATCAGGGCTCATTTAGGGGAGGGGATCAAGGATCAGAGCCCAGGTAGGGGAGAGGATCAAGGATGAAGGCTAAGTTCTGAGGATGAGTAACTGGTTGATGAATAGTGGTGACTGTCTCTAAAGAAGCACAGTGAAGAATGCTCAAGTTATTTTGAGTGAAATTGCACACATGTGTGCACTTGAGCCTGTGTGTGTGTGTGTGTGTGTGTGTGTGTGCGTGTGTATGTGTGTAACAGGAATACCACATTGTTTAGTTGAAGGGATTTTAAATCTGAGGCAATCAGGTGGCAGAAATCAGGAACTGAAGATCCTTCCAGAGATGTGGATATGTGAGCCATTGGGACAAAGACATGGATGAGCCCCGAGACAGGAGGAAACCAGTTAGAGTAGAAAAAGAAGAGGAGAGACAGCGAATACACGGACTCGTGGCCGAACCCGGGGTAGTTCTGGACTTCCTAGCCTTGACTTGCCCTTGCTCACATCTCTTATCACTTCCTTGGAAGAGCCGGCAGGTGTCTGGCCCCCAACCTTTACAGCAGCGTCGGGGAGGGATAGGAGTTCAGCAGAGTCGGTGGGGAGGGTTACAGTTCTCACGTTGTTCCAGGAGAGGGGATCCAATGTGCATGTCACTTCTCCAAGGCCACCTGGGATTCACGTCAAGTCTCACAGCTCAGGCCCAGAGTCCCTTCCCCTCACCTGCTCTGGCTGGAGCCCCTTCCTATAGGGTTAGGGTGGAGGAAGGATGTCTAGAAGGATTCCCATAGACTAATGGTAGAATGAAGGTCTGGGGAGAAAGTTTTTGAAAAAAGTTTGTGTCTTGGCTCAGCTTCTTGCTTTTTTTAGTATGACTCAATTTTGGTGAGAAATAAGTGTTTTGGCTGCTCCTCAAGAACAGAGCCTGTTGTCGATGAGGACTTGGGACAATGTGCTCTCCTTCTCTCCCAAGACCCGCTGTCCTCTCCTCCAAAATCTGTCTGCTCTGGCTCAGGAAGGAACACTCAGCCCAACACGTATGTGTCAGATATGCGGCACTGTGTCTGCAACCGCCAGCCATCTGTGAGAGCAGGGCTCTGCCAGCTTGTCACCAGGCAGGGAAATCCACTTCACACTCGGGGAAAATTGTCACCTCCTCCCCCACTTCCCAGTTGGAAGTTCTCCTTCTCTGATGAAACTTCCTGGGGGCTTATGACCAAGGTGGTTCTTTCTGTAAAGTCAGGGTCACAATGTCTTCCTACACAAACAGGTTACTATGTGTGAAGTTAAGTAGTCACTGAGGACAATGCCCGTAATCAGGGGCAAGAAGAACTCTGGTGGGCAGAGCCTTCACTCTGGGGTTTGTGTGACTAACTACGGCTGGCCCCACCCTCACCGATTCTGGTATAAGTGGCAGAGGATGTGCCTTGAGTGTCAGGAATTTTAAAGTCTCCAAAGCCACTGATTGAGAAAAGTGCTTCTGAAACGTTTGTCTCTGAATCTTAATGAAAGGGAGATTCCGGTCCCGTGGGCCTGCGGCAGCCTGGGGTTGTGAATTTCAAGTGAGCTCCTAGGGGATGCTGAAGCATCTGATCTCAGGCCACTCCCTGGACAGCAAGGCTGTAGGCCAGGATACCCAGGATGCCCTGACCCGGGATGCCGCTCTCCTCCTGGTCTGCCCAGAGAATGAATTGAAGGTTCAAGTTAAATATACCCTGCTTCTTAAAAAAACATCCCAACGTCTGAATTCATTTCCCTTCCCTCCATGCAATTGACCACTCATCTCTTAGGCCTCACATGAGCTTATGCCTCTACCACAGCCCCTGGGCTCCTCCCTGCTGTCCACATGAGCTCTGCTCTGGTGAATCCTGTGCAGGCAGTGCTCATGGGTCTGAACCTCTGCTCTACTAACCAGGCTTTTTTTCTCTTCATAACTGCTATGGTTATTTGGTGTCTATCCTCCCCGCCTAGATTGTAAGTTCCAGAAAAGGAAAAGGGTTTTTACCTTTTTGTTCCTTCTCTGTCAGTAGTGGTCTGGCACCTGGTAGATGCTTAAAAAAATACTTGTTGAATGAATAAATGACTGAATCAATAGCATCAGACAAGGCACGCTCCTTGTGTAAGGCAACGTCCAACCACAGATGATCACACACCTGCCACTTATCGAGCTGGGAGTTGAGGATCGTGATGGGGTTGGGAACTGAGTTTGGGGGTCAGAGTGCAACAGAAATGGGGGGAAAAGCTAAAGGAAGCCATGCAGGCAACACAGAGCGATCAAAGCAAGCTGCTTCTCTTAGCAGAACAGCATAGGAGCCCCCTGTTCATCGACTTTATCCTTTCTGTGATTTTGGTTTTTGTGGTTCTGGGGTGGAGCCCTGGGCCCTGGGCATGCTAGGCAAGTGCTCTATCACTGAGCCACACCCCCATTCTGCTTATATTCCCCAGCCCCTTATTCTGCTTATATTCCTCAAGCTCACTGGAGACAGAGACTGTGTCTTGTCCACAGACCTCTGTGGCTAGGGCAGCAGTGGGTGTTAGCCTTTTTGACCTTGTCTTGCCACCTGGCTGTGATGGTGGCACATAACCATACTTTCATCATTATTGATGAAAGGAGAACTTGTGAATGTCCCTTCAGTTTCAGTTTTTTGGTTCCAGCCTTCACAATTTCAGTGGAGAAGGACTCTGACTGTCTCTGGAACCAACAGACTGTGGTGGTGTCTCAGGGTCATATGGTGGTGCCAACACGCCCACTAGACTTTCATCCAGTGTCAGTGTGTGTGTGTACACGTGAGTACACACCTGCACGTATTTGTGAGCTACACAGTGACCCAAAGAATGAGAAATTCTCTGTCCATTCCCTCAAGGAGCATTCAGCCTGTGGGAAACATTAAAGTAGAACTTACCAAAAACACCCAGATACTATATTATATTAAACTTCAGAAATTTGTGTTGACCCACTTTACATTTTTATGTTTCCTGGGGCAATTTTATTTTTATTTGTTCATTCATACTAGGAGAATTCAAATGAGATGTGGTAGATAGGAAGGGCATCATCAAAAGTTTCCAGGGAACTCGCTCTATTCTTGCTACTGAGCCATGCTACAGAGGGAGTGATGTTTCCTGGGCATTCGTGAAAAGTAGGGTTACCACAGCCAGCTGGACACTGAACTTAAATAGAAGCATGGTATTCACCAGCGTTACCTATTGTTACATTTCCTAGAAAGAAAAGAAAAAAGAAAAGGAGCCTGGCCAAGGATTAACTCATCATTTGGAAGATGTGAATACAGAGCAGTGAAAGAGGAGAAGGATAGGAAGGCAGAAGCCATGCAGACCACACACTGCATTAATGGCATCGCATCCCAAGGAGCTGCAGAGGAGCAGCGGGGGCTCCACCTGGTCAACGAGAAGCGCACTATGGTGCACCCCAATGCAGCAGGATACAGGGGTAATTGACTTGCTAGGCTTCCTCTGCTTCTCAACTCACGCCAAGGAAAAATTCACCTCCTAGAGTCATTACAAGGCCCTTGGGAGTTGAGTCCTCTGGCTAACGGTTGTACAAAATGCCAGATCCCTCGCTCCAAGGCATGGTGTCATTTCATTCCATCTAGAAGTGGTGGAAAAAAACAGAACTTGCTGGGTTCAACTAATCAACCTGGCCATAGTAATGGAAGGGCGGGGCTGTACTTCTGACTGGGAGCCACAGTGGTCTGAGGAGTCAAGCAGCCAAGAGCAGTGGAAGTGGTACATGAGATCATACTCAGAACACATGGGCAATAGTACATGGGATCATACTCAGAACACATGGGCAATAGTACATGAGATCATACTCAGAACACATGTGCAATAGTACATGGGATCATACTCAGAACACATGGGCAATAGTACATGGGATCATACTCAGAACACATGGGCTAGTACATGGGATCATACTCAGAACACATGGGCAATAGTACATGAGATCATACTCAGAACACATGGGCAACTCCTTCATTTCACTCATGGGAGAAGCAAATTTCAGTGATGTTATGGTGTGTCTAGTACCCTGAACTTCACCAGTGTCATGACCTGGACATGGATATAAGTTTGGTGGGTGTGAGCTTCATATTTCTTTTTTTCCCTTCTAAATCAAGGGCTCTGATTATGCAATGGATGAGATATTGTGTTTCGATAAAATCGATACCTGGCATCACTTGGTAGGTGTAGAGTAACGTTCCGTTCTGGCAGTTGGAATTTCCCACAATCTTTTTGAGTTTAAAGGGAGTACAGGAACAGTACGAATTTCCTAGGATTATTGTAAGGTCTCTGAAGACTTGGCCCAGTGTCTGGCTCAATGAATCTTAAAAAGAACTCTGATTTAATGGTATTCTAATAAGTTTTCTCTGACTCAGTATAACTTCTCGTGCCTCTGTCAATGTATTCACATCCTGCCCATCACACCTGTCATCCACCCTCCAGCACCTGTCCACCATCATCTGCCCACCACACATCCACATGTGTATTGTGGTACATGTTCAACGATATGGCAGAGTTTTCTTTTATTAAGCAGGGGACTTCACTGATGTACTTTATTCAGTTGTTAAACACAAACAAATGTGATTTTAAACAATTCCTCTCCCTGATGAGAGAAAAAAATGTAAGTTCCAAGATCAATCAGGAAAAGCATGTTTTCAGTGTCAAAGATACAAAAGCAGTTCTACTTGTCTCCATTGGCCTTGCATGGGTATGCACGCTTTTCTTTATCTATAATGAACCAGAGTCATTCAGAACTGAAATGCCTTCCCCACTGCAGACTTTATCTTGAGAATTTCCTGGACAGAATGAGAGGAATCAGAGAAAGAAAAGGGGATTGACTTCTCAGGCAGATGCAGCGTGAGGCCTGTTGAGAGATGATATTGAGTGGATGGTTCTACAGAGACCTGCCAAAAATAAGATTGGAGGTAGCAGGGATGGACCAGGCTCAGCCAGACAATCATAGTGCATTGCTGGCTGGTGTGAAATTGTTCCCCAGGACATGCTTTTCAGTTATTTGTCCGGATTTCTATGATCTTAACAGAATGCTCCCAGGCAGAAAATAGTTTGACTTTTCCAAGTTCCGACTTAATTCTGCCTCGTTAATTCCTTCGTAGGCTGTGTGGACCCCAGAGGGAAACACACTTATCTAGCTGCCTGGGTTGGTGCCTGATTCCCCAGAATGGCCCGAGGAGCTGAGCTGCAGGAAGCCTAAGGCTGAGCAGAGATTTCACTTCTCCTGGGTGCCTCAATTTTGGAAAACTTCAAAGCTGTGCAGATGGCATCTCCCAGGACAGGCCATCAGCTCTGGTCCACTCAGGAGCCGGCAGCTGGGGGATGAGGGATGGCACAGGCAGAGGGACAGCTTCTAGTAGCTGTGTGGAGAGGCTGCCCTGACCACCAGCCCTCCTCCACCCATCTTCACAGGCATCTTCCTATCTCACATAACATTCCTAAAATATTTATTTGCCAAAAAATATGTTTGATTAATTTGATTGAAGAGACAGAAACTGGAAACCTGCGCTCACCCCAAAGTCATGAGAAGCCCAGCTTGGCCATCAGCACACCTAGGCAGCACATCTCCATGCTGAGGGGGAAGGGTGCAGTTTTGCAGCCACAGGCTTGGTTTCCATGCTCTGATCTGCCCTTCAGTAGCTGGGCGACCTCAGGAACTTTCTCAACTCCAGTATTGTGGACTACAAAATGGCATCCCAGTGGTCCCCGCCTTAGGTTGTCAGGATTAAGGGCATTGGTATTGGTGACTGCTTAGAACAGCATCTGGGGCATGGTGAGTGCATAGTGGACATTTATTATTGTTAGCAAAAGGGGACCAGGATTTAAGATCTGGCTCACAGTTATAAGGCAGGTTATCACCCTGGTGAGTGTATTCGTCTGTCTGTCCAGTACTCAACTTCTTTACTTTCCTCTTTGCAGGGCTCTCAAATATCCTTTGGGAAAATGCTTTCAAATACTTCCCACTGCACGGCAGTGAAGCACAATCACAGATCACACTGGCTTTAAACTCACATCAGGAATATGGCTCATTAAGTGAACTTGTTAAAAGTAAATTGCAAAAAAAAAAAAAAAAAAGACCAAAGAATTCTTCATGCACCTGGAACCCCCCTCCCCCTGCTTTTTTAACAGGTGGTTTCTGATACACACTATAAGTTGTGCCATATCAGAAAAGATCCTTCTTTGTCCCTATAAGTTGTCTTATTCTGATATGATTTTAAATTGGCTGGAACCCCCAGTCTTCTGAAGGATGTAGTGATTACTTTTTTCATTCACAAGCAATTTACAATATTCATTCACTGAATTTACACCACAATACTCTTTAATGGTCCTATTTTTAGGAGAATGAACTAAACCTGTGGGACATAATCTGAGACCCTTGGAAGCCTGGTGCCCCATCACTTGGATGAGGCAGCCACATGTTCTGACCTGGGGGACCACCCCCTTCTTTTTGCAATAGTTTCTTTATTGCTTTGCTAGGAATCTACATTCTCTTGACTCTCCCTCTACCCACGCCTGAACCAACCTAGCCCCATTGCTAAGTCCTGTTCCTTTTTCTGTTCCTTAAAGTGTTGAAGGTTCTGGACTCTGTTCTTGCCCCTCCTCCATGCACACTCTCCCATTGGGTAGACTGACTGGGTTCCATGGCTTTGCATCAGTCCACTGACTGGTTGATGTAGTTACTGATGATATTCTCATTAGAGTACAAATTCCAAGGTGGCTGGGTTTTGAGTCTTTTTCTATATCACATCTCCAAATTCTAAAAGAGTGCCTGAAATTCAGCACTAAATGCATGTTTGGAAAGCATATGAATACATTATTTCACACAAAACCAAGATACCTTGTTTCAGGATACATTGTTTCTGATATCAGCAGTATAGACCCAGGCTCCTCCATCAGCATGGTTGGCATATGAGGCAGGATGATTCTTCCTTGGCAAGAGCTGTCCCCTGCTTGGTAGGATGAAAAAGCCTTGGCTTCTCCTTACTGAATGACAGTAATGACCATATGACCATGACAAAGCTCCCAAACATTGCTAAATGCATCCAGGGGGCCAAAACCCACCCCTCCTAAAAACAATTAGGCTCTCAGAAAATTCACTAGAAATAAAAGATCAAGGCTCCCGTTTCAAAGGTGTGACAAGCTATTTACCTTTCTAGACCTCATCCACACATCAGGGCTCAAATGTGAAGATCAAGTGAAATCGTACATCCAAAAATAACTGCAGCCCCCTGTTAAATTTCCCTTCCCCCTTGGCTCTGGGACTGGCCTGTCCAAGGTCATGGTGGATGCTTCAGTCTCATTATAAGTTCCAAACCCCAATCCTCTCCGTTCTGTCTTACTGAACTTGGCTATTTTCATCCTGTACCTGGCACCTAGGTCTTCTCGTCTCCCGTCCTCTGACCATTTCCTTATAACTGTCCTTCTAGCCACTCCATTCTGAACTCTTCATCTGGTTCTGGAACTGCCACTTAATCTCAACTCTTTTCTCACAGGTTTTTCTACACTTGACCCAGTCCCCTCTCCAGCCACCTAGGCTCAGCAAGCATCCTTATCCCACAACTCTGTACATCTACAGCTGTGGGAAGCATGTCTACGTGGCTAGGATTAACTCCATGGTCTTCAACAGCACATGAAGACCACTGCCTATCTGGGCTCTGCACTTCTCATCTCATAAATTAGAGGGTGAGATTAGTTAGCTGTTAGGCGAAGCTCCCTTCCCCAAGGCTCATGAGATAAATGTCTTATCTACCAGATGATCCCTGAATCCCCTCCCAATTTCAGCACTGCGTGCCCAGGTTTCAAACACGGGGCTGAGGAGCAGTTAGAGGAGATAGAGCTTCCCTTTTTGTCACCGTCTGGTGGTGGTGATGTGATCACTAGGGTCCAGGGTTGGGACTTAGAAACAGTCTCAAGGGGCAGATTCCCCACTCTGTCACTCACAGCCACCTGCAGTGTGACCCTCAGAAAGTTGGTTCTTATTTCTGAGCTATTGGGTGTCTTGGGTTTTCTACCACAAGGGGCTCTTGCGAGGTTGTGTGAGGTGGCATGTGAAGATCACCAAGCCCACACCTCTATTTAACCCTAATGCTACCTGGTGTAAAACTGTCATTTCCCTTTGAACAAAAATTCTGTTTCATCGATCTTTATGTTTCCCTACAACCTAACCTAATATGGCTTTTACATAATTATGACTCAGTTAAGCATTTATCTAGTTAGATGGACAAGAAATAAGGATAAAATATTTTAAAATGTATTTGAAAATAATAAAAAAAATTATTAATATAAAAAAAGAAATAGCCAATGAAGAGAAATGGGCCTGGGATTTGAGGATGTCATATTTTAGCTGGACTTTGCCTGGGTGAGCAGTAATGTGGGGTGGGACACAGCTGCATCTGAAGTCAGACTGGTCTATTGTCTGGTGGAGTAACTGGCAGACAAGAAATGTTCACAAATAATTGCTTAATATAGCTTGTTCAATGCACTTGAGTCCTAATTATTTCATTTATAAGCAATCATTTTGCTTCTCTGAGACTCACTTTCTTAATCTGCACAACAGAAATAGTAACGAGGATGAAACCGAGCAATGGGAGAAAAGGCAGTGGCGGGTCCCGCACATGGTTTGCATACTATACAGCACAAATACTCCTGCTCCGGAGTTTCTGATTCACCTGGGCTCTCTGGCATTGAAATTTTGTGGATATGATTAGCAGATATTCCTAGATGCTGAACAACCTCATCACATCACACTTTGGGCAAATTTTCAGACCAGCTGGAAGAAATAGTGGTGGCCAGAGAATCAACAGAGGTATTGACCAGACCGTCTGTGAGGCCTATGAGCTGTGCAGCAGGGGAAAGTCAGCTCCCCTCCTGGCTCCTCCTGTCTGGTCAGATGTGAAATAACTGTGAGTGAGATCTCTTCATTTCTAAATAGCTCCAGGAACAACTAACTGACCTTGAAGGGTCCCTCCATTCTTTTGAGTGTCTGATTAGATTAGCTCTATTCCCTTAACTGCTGGCCGATGAGAGTGCAGTGTGCAGTTTGGGGTGAGGAGCTGATGGGCAGGGAGGGGAGGGGAGGTTTGAGCATCTACTGCCTCGAGTACTCATCTGCCGCTCCCCATGCATGCACATATTCCCCACAAGGCCCAGTGAGAGTTGCGCTCCTAGCTCTGCTTTCCCAGTAAAGATGGTGAGATTGAGCACTGTTAATACCGTGCACTGAGACAGAGGAGGTGGAACTCATTTTCCTCTCGGTGCTGCCTCTTCCTCAGGCAGTCGGGGCCTAGATCATCTGCTCAGGGTGAAAGGCTAGTCCCAGGGCTCCCGGCCTGCTCCCTCCAGGATGCCTCTGCATGGTGCCAAACAGGCTATTCCATTCCCCTCCAGGAACACGGCTGGCCCTTGGGGATAGATCCAAGCTTCTTAGCACAGTTTATAATGTCCTATGGGACCTGACTTCCGCCTACATCTTCAACAACCACATCTTCAACAGCAAGACTCTTTCCATCTCTGTTTATTGAGAACTCTTTTCATTCCAAACATGGAAAGTCTGCCTTCACCACGATAAAACGTATTCCTGCCTAGTTAGTAGGGTAGACGCACCTTAATCAATTCCTCTCACAGATTCTCTCTCTCAATCTGTCTATCATTAGATATCATCTACCAGTTCTCTATCTCTTTCTCTCTCCATCTACCCACCTACCTGCCCTGGTAATAGCCAACATTTAGAAGCACTAATGATCAAGGGACTATACTAATCACTTTAAATGAACTTTTTTTAAAAAAGGCCTACGGTATAGGTATTTCTATTTCCATTTTCCAGAAAACTACCTAATCTTTGAGGTGTCAGTGACTTTCTCAAGGTCACAAAGCTAGGAAATGGCAGGGCCAGAATCTGTGCCCAGGGAACAAGTCAGCAGTCTTAATACCTGGCGCTCCTCCTCAGCTGTGTTACTAAGGATGGAGACGGGTCCCTTACAGAAAGGTGGACATTGTCAGCATTGCACCTGGGGCTCGGAGGAGGCTGTGTGTTTGAGGGAGCACATGTAAGCGGTGGGCTTTTGGCCCCCCAACTTCACTCCCTCCACACCCGTATGCATGGTGACCTCCCACAGAGATGAATTTCCACCTTCTCCAGCATTTCTGGATGTTGTTTCCTGTGCTTAAAAGGCCTGACCTGGTACATCAGGCTACCCTCTGTTCACTCTCCCATCACCAAGCCATTGTTGGGCCTGCTCGGTGTCAGACCCTGCTGGAGAGAGGCTAGAGGGATAAACAGACATGACCTCCTCCCTCTGGAGCTCCTCCTCTGGGAGATAAACGCACCAGGCCAACAAGGTCAGCACAGGTAAGAGGCCTGGGGCAGGGGGTGTGCCCTTCAAAAGGGTGTAGGAGAAGTGAACATCACTGCCATTTTCCAATTATTAAAATGCCATGTAGTGTATATTTTTTAAAGTCAAAGATAAGTTCTAATTGTTACCAGACCAGCAATCTGAAAGCTCCTAGTAAAATTTTCTCGCTGCTATAAACTCTTTTCCCATCTCATCCTTCCCTCCCTCCCTCCTTACTTCTCATCCCTTAGAGATGTCATGACCAACTCTTCCACCTCCTCCTGGCCAGGCACTATGCTCATTCCTCATCCTTCAAACCCAGACTGCGGTCCCCTACAGAAGGACCTTCTTGAACCATAAGTTTCCCAAGAAGTTGGAATTAGGTATCTTCCTTCTGCTCCTGCTGTCTCCTACCAGGAATGATTTCTGTGAGCTACCTAGACTGAGCACTCTTTACTACAGTGTTGCACAAGTAGTAGACATAGTTGTTCAGTGAATATTTGCTCTAAATACAGGTAAATTAAATTCAGGAAAAAAACATAGTGAATGCTACAGAAAGAATTATACAGAAAAAAAAAAGAGGGACTCAATTATACAGCTGTTAGATCTTCTTGCCACCTGAGATGCCATGAGATATTTCAAGCTTTCTGAATGCTGGAGTTACTCAGGGCAGCCTGCTGGCCCTGATCCACCTTACCTGCTAAGCACCGACGGGATGCTCTGACACATCTCTTTACTTCAGACTCATGAAGAATATCTGATTTGGGCAATGACTCTTCCTTGCCCTTGTCTTCAAAGGTATTTGCATCTCTGATCTTTTTTTCTTTTTTAAAAAAATATTTTTTAGATGTTGATGGACCCTTATTTTATTCATTTCTTTATATGTAGTGCTGAGAATTGAACCCAGTGCCTCATATATGCTAGGCAAGTTCTCAACCACTGAGCCACAACTGCAGCCCACATCTCTGATCTTTCAACTGAGTCATGGAAGCCCAGAATAAAGCTGCATCTCCCAGAAACTCTCTGCATCTCCCCAGCCTGGGGAGGCCAATGGGAAGTCATCCATCACTACTGTGTGTCATTTCTACATCTGTCTTTAAAGACACAAGGCCTCCTGGACCCCTCCAGAACCTGCTGGCTAGAATGTCTCCTGTTCACACAGTGAAATATCCAGACAAAAGCCATGCCCAGGAGGTCAGGGAGCAAAGACAGAAGGAGGTAGAGTCCCTGGCAGGTGGGAATCCTTAGCAGCCTTGGAATGCTCACCTGCAGAAACAGAAGAGAGAGGCAGAAATGACCATCAATCTTGTTTAAGACTTTTTTTTCTGGTCTCTGTAACATGCAACCATACCTAATTATTCTCAGAACATGACACTTTGTTATGGTTTCAATATGAGATATCCTCCAAAACTCAGGAGACAATGTAGCCATGATCAGAGGTGAAAAGATCAGATTATTAAGTGCTGTCACCTAATCAGTGGATTAATCCACTTGATGGATTAATAACTTGAAAGTATTGCTTTCAGTATTGGGTGGTCACTGTAGGCAGACAGGGCATGGCTGGGGGAAGCAGGTCACTGGGGGTGTGCTTTTGATGATTATTTTTGTGTCCTTGGTGCCTCCCTCTCTCTCCCTCTACTTCCTGTCATAGACTGAGCAAGTTTTCTCTCCCGTACTCCGACCCCAGGACGCTCTGCCTCTCCTCAGACCCAGAGCAATGGAGTTGGCAAACCATAGGCTAAAACTTTGAATCTGTGAGCCCAAAATAAATTTTGTTCTTAAGTGTTCTGGTCAGGTAATTAAGTCACAGAAACAAAAACCTGCATGACTTCATAGGTCACCTAATCTGATGATGTTCAACCTCTTCGGAGTCAAGATAATTTTAGAGTTTGAAGAAAGAATTTTCCCTAAAATGAGAAAAAGGGAGTGTCCACAGGGGAACATGAGTCTTGTGGTTCAGCATCCCTGGCTTGGAATCTAAAGCCTGCAAAGACTCTAACCCTTGCTGAGGGTCACATGGGAAACTGGAAACAGGTCAAGGACTAGGACTCAGCCTTCTTCCCACGAGCTTTGTCATTCTCTAGAGAACACCCTCTGACAGCAGGGTAGATGTTGGTCACTTCTCAACCACTACTTCTGGCAAAAATGCCATGCGTCATCCTGACTGGGCTGTGGCCCTCAACAAGAAGTAGTCACTGAACCCCTCCTAGAGTCAGGCACAGGAGGTCACTCCTGTCAGTGGGGAGCTCACACCCAATGGAGGAGTCAAACACTCAGTGGGTTGGAACAGTAACACATTTATAATAACAATTGGGGGTGATTACTAAAGGAAATGAAGAGGATGGCAGTGGAGGATGATAGGGAGATTCTCTGGGAGTCCGGGAAGACCGCTTTGTGGAGGCTCCATTTATGTTGCGCTGAGAAGAAGGATCCAGACCTGTAAAGCAGGGTAGGGGAGTGTCTCGAGGCAGGGGAAAACCTGTGCAGAGATCTCAGAAGGACAGAGCTAGAGCTGTGAAGAGCTGGCAGAAAGCTCAGAGTGTCTGAGTTCAGTAACTAGCCACAAGGGAGCGGTTGACCTGGGCAAAGCCATGCAGGTCCAGTAGATTCTCAGTGGGCCCTTAACAAATTGGGGTCTTTATCTTAATGAAAATGAGAAGCCATTGAAAAGCCTCCAAGCTTCCTCTCCAGAGAGAGAAATGATAGGATTCTGTGTTTTTTAAAGACCACTGTGGCTGCTGTTTGGAAATGAATGTGATGGAGGGTGAGATTAGATAGGGGAAAACCATCTGAAAGGCAGCCCAGCTCTGAAATAATGGCTGTCGCAGATGGGTTTGAAATGTGTTCTGGGTGTGGGATATATTTTGGCTTTGTGGGGACTTGGTGTAGAGTGAGGAAGAGGGACAAATGACAGATGAGCTCATAAGTCTCCTGAGAACCCTACAGGATTCCCCTGTGGAATTCAAGAGCAAAGAGAGTTCAGATTCACTCTGAAGCTATTAGAAGATCCTTCTTGGCAGTTACTGACCTTCTGGCAACCTTTACAGAATGAAAAAAGCAAGACAAGGTTAAACTCTGAATTGCTTTGATAAGCCAGACCCTTAAGAAAAGGGTGAAAGTTGCAAATTCGGAATAAGGTTAGCGAGGACTTTGTTCATTTCCTTTTGATAAAATTGCCACAAATAACTCACCAATTTGATTGGGAAGAAAATATGTGCTACCGTTTTTGACTTGTGCTGATATGAGTTGAGTGAAAAGGTAGATGTTTGGAACTTTAAAAATATTTCAGAAAACATGTTCATTTAATTACTCATAATCTGTCTCTACGGCAATAACTTAGTGTACCCAAGTAAATGACAGTTGATGGTTTGTCTGTCTTGAAGCAACAGGAGAGTGAATGTGGGTGGATTTCTGCCCCTTCCTTTTTCACACTCAGGAAAGCTGAGTCCTCTAGTCTAGTGTAGGACTCACACTTGCTGGGAATTCCACCCTACCCCCCCCCCAACTCTAGCAAACACCCAGCATATCATAGTGCCAAGTAATTACATATATGTAATTTCTGTTAATTTTCACAATGACCTGCACAGAGATCTCTACTTTTGCCTTTGGGAAAAAATGGCTCAGAGAAGTTAAAGAACCTGTCAAGGCCCACAACCAGCAATCAGAGGCAAATTGGGTGGAATCACTGATGTGTTTTGTATCTCTCATTCAGATTCCCAGCTTGATTCACTGCTCAATATCTTCTTACACGCCTTCTCAAGTGTCACATAGTACCAGAAAATAAAATATTCTCAGCAATGGTTGGTTCTGAGATGGTTCTGAGAACTTTTGTATCTCATGGAGGATTTACTGGCCCTAATTCTCATCCTGTTGCTCCTACACTTTTTAATGTAATTTTAAATTTCTCCCACTAAAAGTAAAGTATTTACCTCCCTGCTCCTTGACCTTGGGCTCAGCCATGTGACCTGCTTTGTTAGCACTCCTGAAGCAAAAAAAGTCTTGGGATGCATCAATGGGTAGGTATATTTGCCCTCTTGTGCTCCTGCCATCATCTCAGAAGGGCTTCCCAAATTGGGTGCTGTCCCTCCGCCTGCATCACAGTGAAATCAGGAGCCATTCACCTGAACCTACATTGCAGCAAGGAGCCAAGCCCAGAGGACTCGCGCCTGAAGCAGAGCTGCCGGCGGAGGCCAGGCAAGATCAGCCAATCCCCACCTGACCGCAGACCCAGGAACAGTGTGAGTCAGTGCTGCTTACAGCTTTGAGTCTGGTGTGGCTTCTTAAAGACCACAACTAGGAAAACAACTGAATGACACAGCTTGTGGCAGCTGCCTTCATTTTATGAATATCTGCTTTGGGGCTTAATGAGAACAAAGGCTTTTCCCAGACCACACATCTTGTGAGCTTCGGAACTGTGGCGGTCAGTGTCCTCAATGATCCCAGCCTCCTGTGTTCACAGGTGGGATAGTCCCTTCCCATGTGTGCTGGGATGGCTTGTGTGACCAGCAGAAAGTCACAGGAGAAGTGGCCTGTCACTTGTAGACCAGGAATGAGAGACCCTTCCGCTTCTATTTCGTCTCATGCTCTTTGTCATGTGCCACCTGCTCTGGGGAGCCAACAGCCATGCCTCACGTGTTCTCAGCAGCACGGAGAGGCCAGCTGGGTGAGGAAGTCAGATCCCCACCATCAGGCAGGCCACCACCACCAGTGAATCGGAAGCCCCACGCCAACCTTCCCAGGGCTGCTGCCCTGGATGAGAGCTTGACCCGAACTAGGAGCCACTCCCCAGTTCCAGCCCACAGAGAAGGAAATAGGATGTCCAAGTCATTTAGTTTCATACGGATTCTTATGCAATAATGGATAAATAGTGCGAATGGCCATGTTTCCAGAGCTCCAGGACACAATACTGCCTCAGCAGTTTATAATAATAGTTTTTTGAATAGTTATAAATATTATTGTCATCTTTGCCGTTTATAAACAGCTTGCTCACTTAATAGAGGAATCCACTTTCTTTTCGCCACAGTATACTACATTGTTAAGGACAGGTTCCTGGTGGCAACTTGGCCTGATATGCAGCATAGCACAGTAGAAGGAGTCTGGTCTTTGGGGTCAGCCTGAATTGTTTCAACTCAGGTAAAATTTAGATACAGGGAGATAAACGGATACTTAAACGTGCAGTTCAATGAATGTTGACAAGTGCACACTTACTCCCTTCTAACAAGAATGTCAATGAAATTAAAATGAAGTTTATTCCAGTTATCCTGGGAAGCTCACTCATGACCCTCCTCTCTCTTCCCTGCTTACAGGTAGATAACCCATGTTCTGATTTCAATCACCATGGACTGGTTTCACCTGACCTTGGACTTCATGTAAATGAATTGTGCAGCTTGTCCACTGCTGCCTGGCTACTTTCTGATCTTCATGTTGCTATGGATACCTGGGCTTCAGACTGTCTACCACTAATTAGCATTTCATGGAAGTCACATGATTACATGCATTTTTGGACAAGACTTTCTTTGGACGCACCTTTCCCGTTATTTTGATTAAACACCTGGAAGTGGAATTGCTAAGCCACTTTGTAAGAAATGCCGAACGGTTTGCCAAGCACTTGTGTCCATAATCCCACCCAGAGCAGGAGGGTCTAGCTCTTGCCCATTCTACTCAACATTTGGTGTTACTGTTCAATTTTTTTGCCTTCTAGTAGGTCTGTGGAGATAATTCATGTGGTTTTAGCTTGTTTTGTCTTGATGATGAATGATGGTAGGCTTCTCTAAAGGTCATTGCCCATGCACTTTCATGAAGTGTCTATTTGAAACTCTGGCCCCCTTTTTAATGACTTTTAAAAACATTATTGACTTGTAGAGATCATTTTATATTATAAATGTAAGTATTTTGTCAGATATAATTAGGAAATTATTACTCTCGATGTGTAGTTTGCCCTTTAATTTTAGCAACAGATTTTTTTAATGACTTGAAGCCTTTGAGTTTAATAAAATATAATTTATCAGGTGTTTCGCCTTTGAAGTTAGAGCTGTGTGCATCTTTTCTAAGAAATATTTGCTTATAATAGGGTTTGAATATATTCTTCTTTATCTTAATAAAGTTGATAGAATTGTCTTTTGCATATATTTCCATGATCCATCTTAAATTAACTTTCATGTTTGATTAGGGAAGTACGGGAATTCCTTTTTCTCCCTATTGGTTGAATAGATTTTCCCCTCCTTGTTAAATTGGTAGTATTGTTTTAAAATTGACCTAACATGGAGGTGTATTTGTGGATTCTTTCATTCTGCTCTCTTGACCCATTTCTCTGTCCTTAGGCCAATCCTAAACTGTATGTGTTGCTGAAGATTTCTGGTAAGTCTAGAAATCAGATAGTGTGAACCTTCTTCTAAGTTTTCCTTTTTGAAGATTATCTTGTTTTCTAGATCCTTTGCTTCTCCATATACATTTTAGGATACAGTTTTCAAAAGATCTGTGTAACTTTTTTTAGGTTGTGCAGTTCAAAAAAATTTATTCACTTCAGGTAAATTGTTGAATTTATTTATGATATTTACTTATTATCTCTTGATTGCCTTAAGATCTGTATTGTTTTTCTATTTTCTAATCATTCTAGGTTTCTTTAAATCTACAATTGCTTCAAGTTTCCTGAGGTTTTTGGATGTATCAGCTGATATTTTTATAACATTTGGAACATTCTGTCAATGATGTTTTGAAATATTTTCTCTGCCATATTTCCTCTATGTTCTCGACTGGGGAGTTCAATTATGTGTAAGGTATACATTTGATATTATTCCAATGCCACTGAGACTTTATTTTAAAAGCCCATCTCTCATTTATTCTTCATTTTTTGGATTACTGCTATATATTGATCTCAGGTGTATTGACACTATCTTCTATAATCTCTAAATGCCAAGTCATTAAATAAATTTAATTATTATAATTTCCAAATCATTCCTTTCTTTTAAAATATTTTTCCTTCTCTGATGAGATCCCATGTCTTTCAAATTATTATGTCTATGTTTTCCTTTACATCCTTGGATATACTTGTAATAGCTGGTCAAAAGTCTATAATAATCATATATAATTATATTATATAGATATATAATATAAAAAATATAATAATTGCATAATAACCCAATCCTTCCAATATCTAGGTTATCTTGGGATAAATATTGACTTCTTTTCCATAGATCATAGCTCATATCTTATGTTTAAAAAATATTTAATAATTCAAATTTTTAATATCTGATGAATATTTGAAAACATGTTGAGAGAAATCTGGGTCATCCTGTCTTCCTTTAAGGAATTTCAAATTCTGTTCTGTGGCTATTAAGTTTCTGTCAGACCCTCAGGTTTCCAGGTGAGCTTTTCTACTTTGGTAAGCCTGGTTTGTTTTCTTCAGTCCTCATTCTGGGGATTGATCCTGATTCTAGGGCTTGGTTCTGACTCCTAAAGCTTGGCCTTTCCAATGTTGGTTCTGGAGATCTCAGCTGCATGTTTGATGACTTGGCAAGCTCTTTACTCAGGCTGGAACTCTGGTACCTCTCAGCTGCCTGTGGCCTCCGCAGTACCCTTCAGTTTCCGGCTCACACGGGCTGCTCTCTGTTGAGTTTTTGCGGTCTTGCCCTGAGCACACACAGGAGGACTCCCACATGTCCTTCTCACTCTTGATCAACAGCCATACCACCCTGAATGCACTGGGTCCTGCCTGACACAGGTGTCACTCTTGAATGAATTACAGCTTCCACCTCTTTGGTACTCTGCCAAGCAAAGATGATATCTGTCTGCTCAGATTAGCAGCAGCACCTCCTTGGGCCCCACCCTCCATGTTGAAGTTGGAAAAATGTCCCAAGCAGAAAGCCAGAACAAGTACCAGTCTCATCTTGGGTGATTCTCATTCTTCAGGTTTTCAATGCTGACATGCTTGGCATCCAATTCCTAAAAACATTTTCTTTACTTAATTTTTACAGTTTTATCCTAGTTTGGATGAGAGAGGTCAGTTGGCATGAGTTCCCCATTGTGTCTGAGCCAGACTTATTTTTTACCCACTGACCAGCATCATCTTGCTATGTGATCTTGGGCAAGTTAGTTCATCTTCTGTATTCTCAGATTGTTTGTTTACAAATGGGGAGCA